GGCGCTCCTTAGGGTTTTCAATGTGGATTTTTTGGAAATAGATCTCTAGACCTTTCTTCCAAAGTGCATCTGGACAGCCTCAAATTTCCAACTTTTTTGTTAGCAGCTGAGTGAGTTAATCCTTTGCACCACCCAGGGACTTCATTTCTTTTGTATAGACAACTAAATTGTCCTATGTTCTGCTTTTTAAAATAATATATCTTAGATATCCTTCCATGTCAGTATACATGGAAGTGCACATCTCATTCTTTACACTACAGGTAGTCCCTGACTTATTACATATTCGAGTTACAGCAAACTGCATTCGAGTTACAGTAAACAGCACTTATGACCATCTGCTGGTTTTTTTTGGGGTGGGGGTACATCTTATTGTTAGTCATATGTACTACATACAATGTTAAAATATATCTGTAAGTTTGTATGTAATGTTTCCAACCCCTAAAGACAAATAAAGATTGGATTTACAAATTTTACAAATTTGTAATTGGATTTACAAATTTTATTGATAATAAAAGGCAATAATAATGAAAACTAAAAAAATAAAATGAGGTATTTGACTTATGTCAGAACCAACTTAGGATGGAGTCATCAGAACAGAGCCCCATCCTAAGTCAGAGACTACCTGTACTATTTTCTCAGAGAATTTACTTTGCAAAAAAAAGAGTATTTCAAGCTTTGGTTTCTGTTTTTTAACTTAAAAAAGAAAAAAAACCTGTGAACACCACTAGGGGGAGGGAGAGGGTTAGGACCAGGAAGGAAAATGGAGATGGTCTGGGTTGCTGGTAGTATTTTCTTTCTTTACCTGGGTGGGGTTTACACAGGTATTTGTTTAGAACAATTCACCTTTTATGCATTTTTCTGTATGCTGTATCTCACGTTTTTAAAAGTGTGCTAAAAATGCATCTATTTACAGCCTATCTGATATATCAAAGAGTAAAATAACTCACTATAAGACAAACAAAATCAAGAGGAATATAACCTCTGGTTCCTTAAATACAGATCTGTATTACTTCCCTACCTTTGTCACCCACCAAAAAATTTAAAAATAACCTTCCGTCTTCACTCACCTGCAAGCAATTAACAAATCTTGCACCTTTATTTTCTGGAATGTCAAATCCATCCCTTATTTCCATCTCCAATGCTACTATACCTCTTGTCTGGACTAACATATAGTCTCACCTAGGTTAAGTCTTTCTCAAACATTTTTTAATGCAATCCACAGAAATAAATTTATCATTTGATTAGTAACTACTTCATTTACATAAAACTAAATCAAGCTTCACAAAACAATACTTACTTTACTATCTGCAAGGCTTGCTAATCTATCCTATCTTAACTCAT